TGCATGAGTGTTAAAGGCTGTTTTTTTTATAAATCGTACCCTTTTCGTGTGCAACTAGACGTGTGTCTGAGTCCGGTGATTCCACCCACACCCGTTGGTTGCCACAGCACCCATGTAATCGAATGCCTTGATAAGGAAGTCATGGTGTAGCACTTAACTGCGGCGTTGTCCATTCTTACCTCCATGTTGCACTCACTCATTTGTTTCCCTTTGGTTAAAATAAAGGAATATCATATCAGATGGTTAAACGTGATGAACAAGACCTCTGAAGGTAAAGCCGGATGAGAAGTGAGCATCAATCGATAGGACGTGGCAGGAGGCAGGGAGGAGAGCAGGCTCAGTGATCAAGGGTGTGTGTGTTTGGGCGTGACTGATGGCTCTAGTCCCCCACTGACCGCAGGGAATGTGGTGAGACGGGGAGGGAGAGCAGAGTGGTAACACGAGCTGCATCTCAAAGATGTGCAGGGCATGAGGCTGCTCGGAGAGAGTGGTGGAATTAAGTAAGGAATTAAAGGTAAGGAGACTATGAATGAGATGCAGAAAGATTAAATATTGAGGAGAGAACGAGATAGATGTGCGGGTGAGATCAGAAGGCAGTTTTTTCTGTCGCCTCGGGCTGTAAAACATTTGTCAATGATAAATTAAATTCTCAAGCGCTCCCACAATCCACAGCGGGTTGTTTTTTATGATCTTCCTCTGCCTTCCTCCCCGTGGACCAATCAGCCAGCACCTCAAGCTGCTGTGCAAATACAAGGCGATGAAAATGACGAACACCCATCCATCTTCAAAGCCAGTTATCCTGGAGTAAATCCCAGCTATCATATTGTCATATTATCATACAAGAGACCCGGAAGTCCTTCTATTGTCTTTGGTTTTAGTGTTTGACGGATCCGGAATTGTCATTATTTCACATTGCATTCCTCAAGATTTGGCAATCCAGTCAGACACCAGGAGAAAGAAAAGTGATTGAAGAGACTGGTCAGTGTCATGGTTGAGTTGTTTAATGCCCACGTCCTCCCATACATTTACTTCTTCGAAGCCTCGAACTATTGTTTTGTTTGTCAGCTCTGGGAGCTGTCAGTGGAAACAAATACTCATCCGTGCAGGCATGGCAGCCTTTTCCTTTCATGCCCGTTATCTCAAGCTGCCTCCTCTCCTTTTCTTCTGCCTCCTCACCAGGCCGACTGAGCGAGACCGCTCAGTTATCCGCCCCCGCGGTCCCTCCTTCCCACCTGTTCCCCCGCTCCATCAATCGCATGCCTCCTGCCCGATGTGTTCGTCCCAGTCTCTGCCACTCACGTTCTCCGGCGCCCTCCTTCCTCAGCACCACGAAGCTCTGTTGCCATGACAAGCAGAGGTAATATCAACGCAGGCGATGGGCGAGTGTGTTTCTAACTTCTTGTTTGTGCGCACACTTGTCTCAGACACACACAGACACACACACACACACACAAATGCACAATCCGGTCCCCAGGTGGCTGTAACTTTCATAGGTTCTGTGTCGTAAACCCAACAGGATCTTGTTGTTTATCTCGTTTGCTTCCTTTCTAAGGGATGTGGCCTTTGTGCCGTTGCCACGGAAACATGCATGAATCTTTAACTCGATTCTTCATTGGCTGAAATGCCCAAGGTGTCTTGATTGGTTAAAGGAATGGAGGATGCAATTCATGAACAACCTCTAACAGGACTTTTTTGCCTGGATTTTCTTTGGGTTGAGATTTTTTCCCCACAGAGGAAGACGATTAGGAAGGCTATTTTTTTGTTTGTTATTGACAAAAAGTGGCATACAAAAGTGACAACAACAAAATTATGGTGTATTCATGTGAAACCACCCCATTTATATGTAAATAAATAGTAGCCATGTGATTTACACATTTTTTGGCACTTCTAGGTTGACGTCATTTCTCTAAACAAAACAGTTTAGTTATGGCAGTAATGCCTATTGATTCTCACCAACACGGTTAAGAGTTAAAGCTGCTGACACACATGGACGCAAATAAGGTGTTTTAAAACGCAGCTCAAGTTGTAGCCTACGGCTATCTCGCTGACATTTGCTCCCAGTTCGTATCGGGAGGATCAATCTCGAGAGGGGGGGTGTCAGACTTCTCCCCTTTAAAGGCTTCATAGAGGAAAGTGTAACAGGAACCATTTGGACGTCCACAGGAAAGCAGCTGATTTCTTCCTCCTTGCAGAGCTGTTAATCAGTTAGACAGATATGAAAGCCAACAGACTGTCGTCCATCACCAATGGCTGCCTACCGCCAGATTGACGGAATAATCAAATCAAGCAGTGGATCTCACATTGACTAATAAGATCCATGGAACAGTCGAAGAAACATTATGGTGACGGGGAATTTTGCCCCCTCAGTAGCCTTCAACCACAAACAGATCTATTTCTCTGGGCTCTCACAACATGACTAATAGGCCGCCTTCAGTCTCCATTCTAATTAGGTTATTACTGAGTGTGTGTGTGTGTGTGTGTGTGTGTGTGTGTGTGTGTGTGTGTGTGTGTGTGTGTGAAATATGTTTTGTACTGTAAGCATCAGGACTGTGGCAGATGGTGAATGTTATTGTCGTTTTCAAGATGATCAGTGTCACCTGGAACCTGCACTGAAATTGTGTGTGTGTGTGTGTGTGTGTGCGTGCATGTCTAATTGTCTGTCTGCCTGTCGGTAATTTTCACGATGATTTATTGAATCAGTTTGACTCAGTATCAGTTTTTCAGTATGAAAATTATTCCTTCAAAAACATGACAGAAGAGTTGAAATTCTTTAACTGCACTACTCTGTAATATTACAGTGTGCAGATGGGAAGCCTAGTCCATTAAAATGTTTGTCTGTTTTTCACATTGTTGACTACATCTCCGGCCCTCTGCCATTGTGTCTCAGGTATGCCAACAATAAAAAAGACAAGCAGGTGTACACACAAATGCTTGGACGTCAATTAAAGAGAAAGCAACAGTATTTTCCAGTAATCACAAGTCAAGTTGAAAGTATAATAGTATGAAACGTATGAACATCTCCTTTGGCTTTTTCTGTTTTACTGAGTAGTGTGTGTGTGTGTGTGTGTGTGTGTGTGTGTGTGTGTGTGTGTGTGGACTAATCTTATGTAAGGGTGTCATCTCCATCCACATGTGCCATCACCTTTCTCCCTCCCTCAGCCTTTTGTCTGCTTGTCCTCTCTCCCCCTCAGTGCGTCTCAAGTAATGAGACCAAACTAACAGGTTTCATCAATACAGTCTTATATACATTACAGAATAAGGCGGCCTTGAGGAGCACTGTTTTATTAGTTAGTTAGTCATTATTCATTACTGGATTGCATCTTATGTAAGAAAATAACTCTCATTTCACTTCCTTTACCCAACATTTAATTTCTCAAAACAGTTCTTTCTCTCCCCCACCGTTTCTGTCAGAATGTCCGCCTCTCCCTGCCTAGCCTCCCCTCCTCCGCCCTGCGGCCATCTATCTACTCCCTCCTCTACTCCTGTGGTTACACTTTGAAAACTTTCCGCACCTCATTCCATCACTTCCCTCTGCAGACTGTTCTTTCGGAGGAGAGCTTAAGAGGACAATAACGCATACGTACGTGCACCAAACATTCTGACGCTTCAGGTTTGACTCGTAATTTACCTCGTGGCACAGTATGAATTATGGGCGACTTTATTTGACCGTACACTTAATTACAATGCTGTTGAATAGTGTGGCACGTTGGTTAAAGATTTAGAGTAAGAGGCATTAATAAGAACATAAATATCATATTTGGCTTAAGTGCCCTCGAACAGAAGTTCCCTAAATCCTCCTCTTCTACACAATTCTGTGGACACAGACACACAAGCACACACACACACACACACACTATGCCGGCCATGCCGTGCTGCACCGGGCCAACTTTCATTGGCCACGTGTGCTGCTCATCTGCATACAGAACTTCATTTCTTGCTGTGATATAACATAAGACTGAAGGAAATGGGAATTTGGATGTCAGACATAGTTTAGGAAGGCTGACGAGGCGATTCTCTGCCTTCTAAATCAATAAATATAAAAACAAAAATAAGATTTATTTTATAAGATTTAAGTTTAAGAAAACTTGGAGATCTTCGTAAAAATTGCAACACTGTTATTTTTATCTGCTGTTTTTTTTCTTTTTAGCATAAGTTCATCTTCACATTTTGTTGCCTAATTCTCTCACAATAAAAAGCATACACAGGAAGATGGGCCGACAGAGACAGAAAGAAAAGCAGCAACATTGTGTCTGTATGGGAGAAATTTTCAATCAAGTCAATTAACACGTCGTAATTTTAAAAAGAAAAAGGGGACATAGTTTTGTTTTCTACAAACACAGTTTCCTTCAGAATCTGTAAAGTCGTCAGTATGTCCTTGAACACACGCTTGAACACGTTGCACGTTCTATTCTAAAAGATGACAGCAGGGGTTTGAAAATAGAAAGCAGTCTCAGTGCTCAGAGTCTTCCAGCCTGGGGGTCCCAGATCCGAACCACTGAGGGCAGAGTGACAGAACATCCGGCTTCCTGAGAGTCACAAACACACGGTGTAATACGAGTGTAGGACGAGAGAGGGTGACTGAGAAGGGGAGAGTGGTAAGTATGCTGAGCAAAGCGTGCTACTTCACCAAACCTCTTAGCTGATATTAAATGCTGAAATGATGACTTCATCCTGGGGCACTTCGCCTCTCAACAGTAACTACGTCATCCGACTTTGAAAGGGGCCCAATGATGTCATCCCCAGGGTGCTGAAAGTGGGGACACGCACACATCAAAGGACAGACTGTGCAATATTCAAAGAAAGTGGGAGGCTTTCACCGTGAATGAAAAAATGTTGTGATTGATTTTCGGTGGGAAGTGACGATGTTTTAACCTTAACTTAATCAGTTAAGCTAAAAGAAGCTAAATGCTTCCAGTGGTAATAGTGTTTTTCAGAATACACAAAGACACACACACTCACACTTAAATTTGCATATTCCTGAAATGAAAACACCCAACTCGTTTTTTTTCTTAGAACTTGCCATATTTTATAGTAAGGTACATACATTTACATTTCAGCTGTCTTTGTGCTCACAGAAAGGGGGGACAAAACACCTACAGAAAACATGTGGCTCACACACACGCTCACACACACACACACACAAACACACATATATAGTCGCTTCAGTACCAGCACTCTCACATAAATAAATGCATCCACAGTTAACTGTCCCCAGTGCACTCAGTCTGTCTTTTCTCGGACCACCTAATTTAGGCTTTTTTGTACTTAATAAGTAATCATATATGAAATACCACCAGTACTTACAAAACATAACCATAAGAGTACAAAACAAGAACACATATTAAAACAATCTATCTTCATGAGGAGGACATAAAATGTAATGTAATGCAACATTTTTTACAGCATTGTCAGATGTGGTTCATTCTGGTTTTCATAAGATGGTCTAGGTTACTATTTATAGGAGGAAGAGCCGGAGAAAGAGAAAAAGAAGGAGCAGAGGGAGAAAAGAGGAGGAGCAATAGCGACATTTAAGACATTCTGCACTGCACACGGTTACAGTGACACTTGGTTGTTGCCATGGAGATGACGTTGCATGTTACCAGGTGATTTTCGGCGACAGTCTTTGGGATCGTTTAAAGCTACAGGATTCTCTTTGTCATGCTCCGGCCCTCGCCTGCTGAACCCCGATAACTTCAAAGATGAGTGAATGAAGGATTGATTGAATGATTGATTGAAATGACCCCCACCCACAACACGAAAGCCCCCCCCCCCCAGAAACTTGTTCCCCCCTTCGCCTTCACTAGTCCAATGGGTGCTGGCAAGCGGGAAGTTAAATCCCCTCCATCCTCATTTCATCTCTCTCGCTGTTGGACCACGCGGGGCAGAATCCACTGGCACCGCGGTGTTCTAATCCTCTGACAAGCCGTGCCACTTGGCAATCTGGCGACGCGGGTGGTCACAGATCTCCCTCCAGTGCTCGCCAGGCGTTCCCGCCACCGACGTTCCCAGCACCAGGCGCCCAAGGACGGTGTTGGGGCAGCGTGAGTTGCCCGTGTCTGAGTCCATCAGCAGCAGCTCCACGCTGGTGTCTCTCAGACCCTCGTCAGAGGGCAGATCAAAGACAAAGAGCTCGTTGAAGACGGGGTTGGGGGAGCACTTCTTCACGTGGGTCTTCTTCTTACACACACGCTTCTTCCCTTGGTACATGTTCACCTTAACGTACGGATCTAGAGACAAGGAGTAACAAGAACAGACAAACAAAGTAAGGACAAAAAGCATCAAAAAAGGCACGCAAAATTTCCCTGCAGCGGTTGCAGAGAGGCATGTGGTTCCTAGGCCAGATCGATACACTAATCAATAGAGCTGAGATGATGGATGTTAGTGATGGGGACAAAAGAGGCTGTCTGTGTAAACATTTTGAGTGTGTGTGTGTGTGTGTGTGTGTGTGTTTCTCACTAAAGTGCTCTCTATCACATCCTGATCAGATTACTTCAGGGCGGTGGCGGTGTCATTTCCGCGACTATCGCAGCATGCAGAGTGGTCTGGGCCGCCTGGCAGGAAAAACAATATGATCTCCGTCCCATCCATTTACGGCTATGTGGCGGACGCTTCTGCACACGTGAATGGATTGCATTTAGATTAGAAGGTTGCGCTGAAAGTGTGCCGGACGTACCTGTAGGTCCGTTGTTTTCAGTCTTGGGCAGGTGGCGAGCTTTGAGGACGACCACGGTCAGCGTGTTGGTGGTGGACTGGTAACACAGGGACAGCAGCAGCTCGCCGCGGCACGAGGACTTCTGCAGAGAGACGAGGGGGAGATGTCAGGGTTAGATATTTTGTTGTCAGCATATAGTTGAGTTAGGCTAAAGCCATTGCCTTGTTCTGCGTTCACATTGTTCCTTCACAATGTTCCACTAGGTAATATAAAAAAGAATGCACTTAATGCATTAAGATTTCATAAACACCTAATAGGGTGTGACTATTTGCTGCACTATGCGTCAATAAATAACATAGCTATTAATTAGCTTCTATTGACAACCTTGTGCTGAAACCTTTAGCTGCTTGTACTGCCAATGGTGTGACTGCTGAGGATTAAATGGCCGACTAAATAGTCATCACCTGCTTAATTCGCATGCTCTCATATCCTAACTAGGTAGAAGCTCCCTTTTCTGCACTAACTTTGTGATACACATACAGGCATTCACGTCTGTGTCCAAGCCAAAAGGAGTTCACGCCTCGGATGCTGCGATCACACCTAAGGGGACGCGACGCCTCGGCTCATGGTTGTTATGGCAATGAGAAGAAGCACACAAGACCATCTCTACTCCGGACCTGATAAAGTCTTGTTAATGTGGCCCTGATGTGTTTCTATAGCGTTCCTCTTGTGTAGATGTATCACTAATGAAAAAAACAAGTGACTGCAGAGTTGATCTCTCTCTCACACACCGATACACAAATACACGCACACACACACAGACACGCCCACAATTTCTAATCTATTCTGTTTTTGTCATCCTCCACGGTGAAAACGGGGCAATGGCTACGCTGCTTGAGACATAATGTATCGATTCTGTCCAGTGTGCTCATACATGCACAAATTGGCACACACACACACACACACACACACACACACACACAGACTAACCCGCACAAAGCAGTGAGACTAGATCTATGCCATGCAGACAAAGAGCCACCACCCTGTAAGCAAAGGGCTGCTTCAAGTCAGACGACTCATACTGATGGAATTCATCCAAGAACAATTCTCAGTTGTACATCATACGAAGAAGCTTACGGAGACCTTAAATACTCAATATCTAATGGATCAACAAATCTTAAATTCTTTGTTTCTTTGCACTTTGTAAAGCCCTTTTGTCAATGCATCAAAAAACGATTGTTTGTATTGTGATTGGGTGGGTCTCTCTATCTCGTCTGTTCTCTTAAGAATAAAGAACATATTTTGAATAAGTACAGGTTATAGATAGTAAACCACTGCAGTTTAATTAAAATAATCTATTTTGTTTTTCTTTTCCTCAGAAGACGATTCCCACTGCAAAACAGCATCGTGGATGCTAAAACAAATTTGGTCTGCAACAGAGGTTTGCAAGATTGCAAGATTGCAAGACCCGATTGAGATATAGATTTGAAAAAAAAGGTCAGTAAGACCTTTAAGAAATAGTATCCCCTTTATGATAAAGTTATCAAATATGAAGTAACAGTGGAGCTCTGCTGATGGGGAAGGAACTCGAATTTCCCAGCATTTCTCCAGAGTACTATATCACATCAGAGATCTTTAAAGAAATTACAGATATCTCACATTCCTCCTGGGAACGCGCAACATATCCTCTCCCACGCGAGAAGCATGGAGCTTCCATTAAAGCAGAGTACAATATCAGCCCACAAATCTATAATTACAATGATATCATCTCCCATTCCACCTACAAATGGACAAGAGCTCATGTACAGGCAAACCACCTAGTACCAATCTGATCTGAAACACAGAGCTATCATCATCATCATCCATCGTTTAAATTCACCAGTACACTTAATGCAATGAAGCCATGTTTTTTTTTAAATCTCCTGTTCAGTCTTACAGCACAGCGTATCCGCCCACATCTTAAAGAATTACTTCTGTTAATGAAGTAGGAGACATTCCTCTAAAACAAAAAAAATATCCCCGGGAATGAGCTTGAGTTTGAAATCCTCCCAATTGCTGGGAACAGCAGGTATGAAGTAGATACAAAACTGATGGTGTACAAAAAACGATAAGATTAAGAGAAATGGTGATTCAACTAGTTTCCTATTTTGAAGTAATTTTGCTGTTAGACTGTTACATAAAATAAATATACTAAATGCTGAAGACACATTTTGAGACACTAAATGTGTCAAAAATCAAACCAACAATTGCGCTCAAGAAATTGAATAACTAATATAAAAACTGATACAAATCATGTAAGGGTTCAGGAAGGATGGTTCCAGATCTCACCTTGACATTTTTCTTAATGATCTCTCTGCTCATCAGGACACGCCCCTCCGATAAGTCTATCCCAGACAAGGGTACAAGGGTCTCTCCGATGACCTCATCACGGGAGAACCTATCAAAGCTCAGCACCATGAAGTGAAGAGCCAACTCTGACACTCGGGCCAGCGGGATGCCGTAGAAGCTGAAGGTCTCTTCAAAGGCGGGGTCAAGAGTCTTCCTCAGGACTCTAGTCTTCACCCGGTGCTTTTTCTCCGGCAGCAGGGTCAGCTTGATGTAAGGGTCAGAGGTCAGCGACTGCTCATCAGTCGGAGTCAGACCGTGGGCTTCCTGGATCAAAAAATCAAATCAATCAATCAGACAAGAATGGATGAAACCATATGCATCAAAAAAACATTGTCAAGACACACAATGTTGTCAAACCACCAGGGTACATATGTTATATCCCAGCAAGTACATACAGTACCTTGATATGGACGATGAATGCCTTCTTCTCTGGCTGGTATTCCAGGGAAAAGTGGAGGGTCCCCAATCCGCCTTCCCTGTCCTCTACCTGGGGCTTTTCCACAGCCGGTGTGGGCGCCTGGCTGGAGAGGGTGCTGCATGGGGAAGGCAGATCACGGCGGTCCATCGCCCCAGGTTGTGTGAACCCTGCATGGGGAGAGGGCAGCTCCAAGTCCGGGGAGCTGCGCACCTTCTGGCTGTGGTGATGAAATGGTTTGGTGGTAAAGTTGCCATTCAGATCCCGTTTCTCCAGATCCAGATGAAGAGCTTGTCTGGAACCGTTTGGACTTGAGGCCAGTTTACCGTTGCTGGTCGGACTCATCGGTGCCACGGTGTGGCAGTTTCCGTTAACATCGGTTTTGCCGGTGTCGCTCGTTGTCATGGTGGCATGTGCAGCAAATTTCTTCTTGTTGCTGAGACTTTCCGGGTAGATGTCGACCCCTTTGAGCATGTGCACAAACTTGTAGGGAGGTGTCTTCTGGGACTTGGCGTTTTTACGCTGGCAACAGATCCATGCAAAAGCCGACACAGTGAAGACGAGCCCGAAGACGCTCACCACCGCGACACCTACTGGCACCGCCACTATAGAGGAGGGCAGAGGGAGAAAATTACTTTCAGTAAAAACGTTTGACCACATACCTCAACAAACAGTGAGCAACAAGCACCAAAAAACCTCTAAACACAAAACGATCGTTTCCAACAGATTTAATTGTTGCCCTCAGGCAATTGAACCCTTTTTGTGAGAGTGACGCAAGCCGCAGTTTTGACTCTGATGGAGATGAAGACAACGCTATCTGTTCAACCATGAAGGAGTACGATCAATACAGTGCTCATATCCAGAACATGGCGATAGTCAGTCAACAGGAAACAGATGGAGAAAATACTACTGGGGAAACAGCTGGTTGATGATGGTTCACCTTGGTATCCCAACTGCAACAATGGGTGACAAAGGTATTTGTGAATTGGTCTCCTATAGCATCACTGCTATAGAAACATTAGTGGGGTATTTGCCAATCAGTTCTTTGGTTTCTTTGTTTTGTGGTCTTGAACTGTGACTCAACAGTAATTATGCTGCCTTCTCATGAGCTAATTGTTCTATTTCAATGGAGAAATTGGGAACCATTTCCTGCAGGTAGAAGGGCACTCCAGTGGGAAAGCTCTCCAGCTACCACCCATACAAAGAGGGTGTGTAAAGGGTGGGGTTGGGGGCTGATCATATCACTAATGTGGGCCACTTGTCATGAAAATCTGTTACGTCTGGTTAAATCTGTACCGGAGTTCACTTGTATTTTATCATGACATTTTTTATCACATATTGGCGCTTCCTAATGCAGCCTTGTTGCCTGGGTGATTCTGATGGTGAAACTGAAATCTCGACACAAAATATAAAAAAAATATGCATTTCCTAATAATTTTCTTGTTAATGACATATGGGAGTTTACAGGTAACCAGCAATGTGTCACAACAGACGTTAATTTGTCTGCGAAATTTGTCGGCATGGAACCTGAAGAGACGGCCTCTAAATAAGACTATAAGCTTGTTTCAATTTTAGATATTATATTACATATATATTGTTTTCAGGTGGAGAGGTTTTTAAGGCAACAACAACAACAACAGACGGATGGATATGGCAATATGGTGAGAGAGCTGCTGAATCGAAAGGAAATAGGAAACAAACAGGTGCTTTCTGGGGTTCACCTATGCTTTAGTAAAACCTGCTGTACTCAAAAACGTCATTATTAAGAATAATAATAATATTAAAAATAATCTAATCGTATGTGATGTTGTGAAACATGTCCCCTGCAGCCTATTGGTTGGTTTTCCGGATGCTATGCTGTCACCTTTAGCTAGCTGTAAAATGGAGGCTGGAGGATTTCCTTAGCACAAGGAGGGCCAATCATAATTTGGACCCCCTGACACGCCCCTGGACAACACACTGGATGGAGCCATTCACTTTAACTTGACTATTTTATAACAGAATGGGTTACTCAAACATATCTATACATTTATACATTTTTTGAAAACAAGAGAATCAAAAGGAGACACATTTTCTTGTTCTTGCCAAATAAAAGAATTAAGTACTAAAACTTATAGAGCTAGCTAATACTTTTGAGACAAGGGAAGTGTAACGATTTCAAGATGACCAAGCCCATGTGCACCACCAACAACATCACACATTAACAACTGTATAGATAGAATGACTCCAGCTGGTCTCACTCACCCAGCCGAGCTCCTTCCTCCACCATTGGAGCCATGTTCGCTGTCCAAGGTGCTGAAACGCTCCGTCTGCTTTCGCACGAGCTCCCTTCTCTACGCCGATGACGAACTCGCCCTCCTGATGATGAGGGGCCGTGAATCTCTCACAAAATCTCAGCTTTGATCGCCTTTGATAATGACAAGGGTTTTGTTGAGGATTTAATAATTGAAAAGGCAGCCTTGTCTTCCCGAAAAGACGGATGGAAGGATGCTCTGCGCTCTGATACGCTGCTGCTGATACTCTGCGATGCGTGAGTGTGTCTCAGAGGCGGCAACACCCAGTTCCTTCTTCACCCTCGCTCTCTTTATCTCTCTCTCTCTCCTTGTGTGCTGACTCTCTCTCTCTCTCTCTCCCTTCGTTCACCAACCCCTCCCCCTCCCCACCGGTAACGCTGAGCTCATCAGTGCTGACGCAGTAGTGACGGAGGCTGGCTGGGAAATCAGGACCCCCAGTTGCAGCACAAAGGAGCTGCCAATTCCCCTGATTGATTGGGACTGAACGGCCTGAGTCTATATATCGCCATACTTGTTTGTGTGTGTGTGTGTGTGTGTGTGTGTGTGTGTGTGTGTGTGTGTGTGTGTAGATGTGAATTTCGGTGTACATTCATTAAATCACATGTACATGTATATGTATATACAAAACAAAACCCTTTTCATGTATATGTGTTTATATATGCTGTTTGTAGTATATAGTAATGAGACAGCAGACATAAGTGTTCAACGTTGTCACCGTTTGGACATCCGATATATTTCAATACTGACCTCTGGTGTTCAGTTAAAGAAAATGGCATTTTCCCTAAAGAAACAGGTCAAAGAATCTGTCACGTCTTGATTTAAGGAATCAATTGGATTGGAAAGCAATAATCGGAAATTAAGATTTACAGAAGATAGATGAACACGACTTGAGTAAGTTTACAAGTAGAATGAGTAGAGACAGGTGCGTCTTTTTCTGGGCCTTTCTAAGTGTCACAAAACATTGTGGAAAGCAACATTGGCAGAGTCATCAGTAGCTTTCTTGCTGTAGTAACTGTTTTTGTCAAAAACACTTCTGACCTCATCACTCATTTCCTACATGGCTATGGCTAAAAGATGGCTAAAAGCAGCAAAACAAACAAATGGCATAATATTTATTAAAGACTGAAATAATCAACCAAGGAAAAACAAACACGAATAACAGTTAACAGTTGCAAAATATGCAGCAAAACATCTAAATGAAATACATATCATATATACAAAAATCTATTTCTGTATCTACAAAGCGAGTGAAAAAAAGAGCATCAAGGTTGATATAATCATGCAGCCTTCTAAATCAGATTGCAACCCTTTTTTGTAACGCAGAGCTTCCACAATGCTTACCATGATCCATAACAGTGTTATCCTTAATTTGACAGCATTGTTGTTAAGTCCACACCCCCTGAAACTAGTGAGCATACATGTCTATTAATGCAGTGATTTTCAATAACCGTAAATGCAGTAGAATTAAATGACCCGTGGGAGAGGATGTGGAGATGAGACAAAGAGCGATGGAAGAATGGCTGAAGGGGGAAAATGCTGACTGGCCCTGGATGATATTCATCCTTTTTATGTATTTGCTTTCCAGTTACAATGGTGTGTGGGGAAAAGCTATCCAACAGTGGGATGTTCCCAAGCAAGCTTAAACGTATAAAGAAACACCTGTTACTGGACCCAAAGCAACCTCTTTGCATAGAAACAAAGAAAATGTTATGTGTGACTTCCACACCTGCTGGTACCTCGGTTTGTCAGCACTGACGACATACACAGAATGTTTACTGCTTTGCTGCAACGATCGAGCAAGCGACAAGCCACCATGAATTGACAGTTTGTCCTTGTTTTGTTTGAATAACAGCGTTTGGGCGTCGTGACCCAGATATAACTCTTTTACAAGAAAGTAAGAAGATCAACTAGGCACTGTTTATCAAGTTAAAGAAAAAGTCAGATGATTCTTCAATACTGAAATGCTTTGGTAGTAAAGTGTTGGTTGTAAATGCTTGTTTTTGTAGTACGGCTTCCCGCTCAATGCACACATGAACTGTCATGCTTTCTACTGGGTCTCTGCTTAAAACACATACATAGAACCTTCATCTAGTTTCTGTTTCATGGTTAAGTTTTGTAACTAACTGATTCCAGCATTTCCCAATGAAATGAACAGTCATTATTTCTTTGAAATCAAAAGAGGGAGTGTCAAGTAGTTCCCCTTCGGCAACATACCTGTGGTTGTTAATTGCCAACACCATCTCTGTAAAAAAGAAACCTAAAGAAGTAGAAGCGAGACTAAGAACTGCAGTGGGCGAGGTGACACCTGGAGTATATAAAGGAGATTGTGGCGTGTCACCTCATCATCTGTTTAAATCATCACCTGCACTGCAACTCATCCTCCCTGATCAACACAGGTAAGATCAGAAACTACAACTCACTGTAACATGGTTTATACTGTATACTTAAATATTACATTTTAAAGTGATTTCAACTTTTCATGAAACATTTATGATTCACAATTTACTTTTAGAACAACTATGGCAGCAGCAGCCTTATCAAGAAGCAAAGGACGCCTGTTCTTCCTCCTCAGTCTGCTGTGTCTGGTTGGCCTCGCAAGTTTACGCAAAGACGACATGAACCTGGTGAGCAAACTGCTGCTTAACTTCCCTTTGCTGTGAAAACATATTCTGCAGTTATTTTGAGTCAACACAAGCAAACCTACTGTTGAATTGTTCTTACTTTTTTACATCTGTACTCGCAGATATGCTGGAGTTGTCATGTTTAGACCCTTATTTCCACCAAATAACGACATGTTGATTCTCACACTCGATTTGCAGGACAATTCCAAAGTACTAATTCAGAAAACGGAAGAAAAGCTAAACCAGTTGAAGGTGAGTCAGTTAGTTCACTTCTTTGTTGATCACCAACGTTTGGATGAAATAACTTTAACCCGTTTACAAGTGACTTCATGCACTGCAGGGGACACGACATAATGTGATGACGTAGCAAACTCAGACGGAGCCATGTGGTGAATTTGTTTTAATTTTCCTCATTAGGCACAAAAGGACTTCTTATCAACGCTCATGAGTGAAACAAAGACCTTTACTGAACAGAGGATGGCCGCTTTGGAGAAGTTTTTGTCAGAAGAATCTGCTGACGATGATCTACCACTGAAGAACCTTTTTCAGAGCTCGATGCACTCATTTGACTTAGCCAAGACTTTTTTCGACAAGGAGAATGAGGTGTCTGATGCAAAAATAACCAACATGAAACTAGATCTGGAAAAGACTAAGCGACTTGTCCAAGCCCTTGAGGAGTACCACTCTGAATTGTAATGTTTAAGTCAGTCAATGTCTCTATTGTATCTCTGATAATGAATATGTTGTAGTCTTTGGTCTTTCTTTTCTATTGTGTTTCTATGCATTGGCGTTTAAATCATGAATTCCTTTTTCCTTCGTTATCATACAATTTGTGAAGCAGAGACAATGTTAATAATAAATCAAACAAAATAAACACTGACATGACAACAATTAAACCAAATGATTTGTTTGGGCTTTTCTTTCATTTGTATTCTTAACCAATATTTTCTTTCAATCATTTTATTTTATCATTTGAAATAGGCTGCATACTTATTGGTAAAACTTTAAAAATGTTTTGTCTTAGTCACAGTTGTTCAAGCTATATTATCGTAGAAGGCCATAGAGCCTGTGACCTCCCAGCAGAGAAGCCTGCATAAGTAACTGGTGTGTGTTATCTCAACTTGGCAGAGAGGGAGACGTTGGAGAAGCCTTGATGCGTATGAAACGTGTATATGTCAAACATTTAGAGAATAAGCATAACTTGTGTATTAGTAATTTCCACTATTTAATACGGAGGATGAGACATATTTCTCCGAGCAGCAACTTGATGCAGGACTTGTACGTGTTTCAACTCTGTCTCCTACTTGCAATGTTTATTATTTAGTAAATGTCCTGTTTAGTGATTTAATACGGGTGTCGAGTCATATTTTTCTAACAACACTACATGTCTTCCTCAGAAAGAATGAAACACACCTGTTAGTCAGACACACAAAAATAAGAAAACAAATGAAAGAATAACGTCAGGTGCCAATACACAAAACCATAGCGGTTAAACCGTCTTTTGTAGCCAATGTTGTAAGATTGTCCGATGTGCACAGTGCCATAAAAATCTACGGGTTCTTAATTTCAGACACACATTTTTGAATTTACCGATTGAGCCACATTAATTGCACATACTGCTTACACCTTAAAAATGTTCAAGAACAGTCGCCGTCATACCGACTCCGGCAATGTAGGGTAGTTTGTAATGTGTGTATTATCATAAAGAGAATGGTTCGTGGTAAATGTGGCTTATTTTTTGGAGATAGATTTGTCTTTACTGGATCTTACAGTTGGTAGGATGTATCAATTCCAAGATATTGAAAGTCAAAGAAAGAAAAAGATGTAAATGTTGTACATATTGACAGTAGATTGCTATCTAGGTTTCTACTGCCTCCGAGTGGTTGGGCGGTGGATTTAACAAAATCATTGATTATTTCTAGCACAACGGGAATATATTGTTTAGGGTTGCAGAGAAATAGCAGTATTTATCTCTCTATATATAGGCATATATGTGAAGAAGACCCAGGACGAGGTGGAGAGATTATAACTCCACACTGGCCCTGGAACGCCTTGGGATCCCACAGTCAGAGCTGGTAGATGTGGTCCGGGAAAGGGAAGTTTCGGGTGCCCTGTTGGAAAACTGGCCCCTGTTACCCGACCCCTGATGAGTGAGTGATGAGTGAGTGTATATATGGAATAAAAATTCAATGTATTATTAAACTGTAATCAATATGTAGAAGCCTGACCAGTCAGTTGAACGGCCCTTAACATGTGAAAAATGCAAAATGAGACAGCAGACATAAGAGTTCCACGTTGCCAACATGTTTGACATCTGATATAACTCAATACTGATCTCTGGAGTTCACAGTAAAACAAATGCATTTTTCCTGAAAACATCAAAGACAACGATTGCGTATGAAGGAAAAGATTTATTCTCCCATCCCTGTTCTGCTCACACAGGGAAAATGTGTCAACTTGTTCACTTCACGTATGGAAAAGTAATGTATTCTCAAACCCCAGTTACACTGTAGTAACTGTTTTTGTCAAGATCCCTTCTGACCTCATCACTCATTTACATCCGTAAAAACAGCACAAAATAAGTGTAAATTCCACATAATACTGTATAACTGTTTACAAATACATGAATACATGAAAACGAGCCAATGATATAGTATTAAAAAAGGCTGAAATAACCAACCAAGGAAGAACGAAACAAGTGAGTAACAGTTGTAAAATATGTAGTAAAAGATCTAAATGAAATACATATCTTAAAGTTGACTAATAAGAAGTAAAAATGTATTTTTGTACCTACAAAGCGAGTGAAGAAAGAGGATTGAGGTTGATATGAATATGCAGCCTTCTAAATCAGTTGCAACCCTTTTTTGTAATGCAGAGCGTCGTTACACAGATATAACTTGTGTACAAGGAAGTAAGAAGATCAACTAGGCACCGTTTATCATGAAGTTAAAGAAAAAGTCAGAGGATCCTTCAATACTGAAATGCTTTGGTAGTAAAGTGTTGGTTGTAAATGCTTGTTTTTGTAGTACGGCTTCCCGCTCAATGCACACATGAACTTTCATGCTTTCTACTGGGTCTCTGCTTAAAACACATACATAGAACCTTCATCTAGTTTCTGTTTCATGGTTATGGTTTGTTGAGTATAATTGTGTTTCCTCTACCTACACTAACTGATTCCAGAATTTTCCAATGAAATAAACAGTCACTATTTCTTTGAAATCAAAAGAGGGAGTGTCAAGTAGTTCCCGTTCGGCAACATACCTTTAAAAATGAAACCTATAGAAGTAAAAGCGAAACTAAGAACCCGCAGTGGGCGAGGTGACACCTGGAGTATATAAAGGAGATTGTGGCGTGTCACCTCATCATCTGTTTAATTCATCACCTGCACTGCAGCTCATCCGGCCTGATCAACACAGGTAAGATCAGAAACTACAACTCACTGTAACATGGTTTATACTGTATACTTAAATATTACATTTTAAAGTGATTTCAACTTTTCATGAAACATTTATGCTTTATAATTTACATTCAGAACAATCATGGCAGCAGCAGCCTCATCAAGAAGCAAAGGACGCCTGTTCTTCCTCCTCAGTCTGCTGTGTCTGGTTGGCCTCGCAAGTTCACGCAAAGACGACATGAACCTGGTGAGCAAACTGCTGCTTAACTTCCCTTTGCTGTGAAAACATATTCTGCAGTTATTTTGAGTCAACACAAGCAAACCTACTGTTGAATTGTTCTTACTTTTTTCCATCTGTACTCGCGTATATGCTGGAGTTGTCATGTTTAGACCCTCATTTCCACCAAATAACGACATGTTGATTCTCACACTCGATTTGCAGGACAATTTCAAAGCACAAATTCAGAAAGCGGAAGAAAACCTAAACCAGTTGAAGGTGAGTCAGTTAGTTCACTTCTTTGTCGCTCGCCAAAAGTTTGGATGAAACAACTTTAACCCGTTCACAAGTGACTTCATGCACTGCAGGGGACACAACATAATGTGATGACGTAGCAAACTCAGACGGAGCCATGTGGTGAATTTGTTTTAATTTTCCTCATTAGGCACAAAAGGACTTCTTATCAACGCTCATGAGTGAAACAAAGACCTTTACTGAACAGAGGATGGCCGCTTTGGAGAAGTTTTTGTCAGAAGAATCTGCTGACGATGATCTACCACTGAAAAACCTTTTTCAGAGCTTATTGCATTTATCTGACTCAGCCAAGGCTTTTTTCGACAAGGAGAATGAGGTGTCTGATGCAGAAATAACCAACATGAAGCTAGATCTGGAAAAGACTAAGCGACTTGTCCAAGCCCTTGAGGAGTACCACTCTGAATTGTAATGTTTAAGTCAGTCAATGTCTCTCTTGCATCTCTGATAATGAATATGCTGTAGTCTTTGGTCTTTCTTTTCTATTGTGTTTCTTTGCACTGGTGTTTAAATCATGAATTCCTTTTTCCTTCTTTATCATACAATTTGTGAAGCAGAGAGAATGTTGATAATAAATCAACATAAACACTGACATGACAACAATTAACCCAAATGATTTGTTTTGGTTTTTCTTTCATTTGAATTCTTGAGCAATACTTCAATACTCAATCATTTGACATAGGCTGCAAACTTTAAAAATGTTGATTATTATTTAATAAATGTTCTGCCTATTGATTTTACATCGCTGTAGAGTTATATGTTTTTATATACTACATGCCTTCCTCAGAAAGAACGGCACACACCTGCTAGCCAAACACACAAACAGAAAAAAAGAAATTAAAGAACAACGTCAGGGAAAGCAGCATATTCACAAACATAAGGGCCAATAAACCAAACCATAACCGTTATACTGTTGGTCTTGTGTAGCCAAATGTCCGACGTGCACAGTAACATGGAAACCTAAAGGTTCGCAATTTCAAACCTAAATTCATGAATTTACTCACTAAGCCACAAGAGTTTGTTCTTGTCTGAAATATTTTCTTTACATTAGTCCAGGTGCTTAGAATGTTACTTACAATAAAGTTGTCCCTGGTGCTTGTTTAATTGATTTATTCAAGCTATGGTGTCATCGCAATCCCCCTTCCTGACCACTAGATGGCAAAGTATAGCGAATGAAACACCCTGAAGCTTCTGCCCATGAGTGAACCAATTGGATGGAAAGCCTCAATGCTTCTTGAAGCTTCATCTCGCCATCACTAGTGAATACGATAGGGTTGAGTCTTTTTTTCTAAAAGCTCGGCCAATATTTTATTGTCCACACATTGCAAACTAATTGGTCCATATGAGAAAGGTTTCTCTGGGCTTACATTGCTTTGGTATCAGGGTAACAGCCACAGTCCTGTTGATTGAGGAAGGAGAATCCGTACATTACACTTGAATGAAACCGCTTTGAATACATTATATATTTCTGGGGTAAAGCCACGTGGGCCGGCTGCTTTTAGGAATGTCTTCAACAACTTCCTCTCTGGAAATGTCATGTTGGCTTATTCAAGTTCTTTTGTAGATTTTAAGGCATATTGAAGCTACATTGTACTCAATTATTTCTGTTTTAGCCATTATTTTCTTAATTGTTATATAATTGTACCATTTGTTCGTTCCCTCATTCCTCCTGACTGTGGGTAATAAGAAAAATGCAATTTCACATTCACCCCAAAAGTCAGATACGTTGTTACTTTGTTGACAAAGTGAGTTTCGGTATCACAATGTTTCCTCCGGTATCTCAAACCTCGGTCTAATTTCTGTTGAGGCTTTTGCCATTGTTGAAACATCCGGTGCTTTTGTTTAAAGGTTTGGAAAACTATCTATGATCTTGAGACAATATTTCCCCTTGATTTAGTTCAAGTTTCTGAATGGATATTCTGACTGTTGAATTTTTTGTTATTATTTTTAGTAATTACTGTACAGGCATCTTCAACTTCCTGTTGAGCACGTGTGAATTTAACACAAGTGTTCAATGTCGTCCTCTGGTGACCGTGGTAGCAGCTTTGGTTCTCTCTGGACTGATGGTTCCCCCTGTCTGCAGACCGAAGCATCTTGCTGTTCACCTGCAGTAACTGTTCACACGTCAATGAATGAACAATAGCTGAGCAGCTGTTGGAAGACCTGCAGTAATGTTCCACCATTGTCAGTAATGCTTTAGTCGACAGTCTGTGCTCCTTCACACAGAGGCACATTGTCCTCCAGGTTATCTGATAATTAAGATGTTTGTGCGTCAATGTTTATAATCTTTGGTGCGAGAGATAATCACCCACATCAGAGGTTAATTACCAGCACTTTGTTTTTGCCCAGAGCCCCCCCCCCCCTTGTTTTAGCATGTTTATCTTCCTTCTATATATTTCCGCTGCAAAGGAGAAGACCTTTGAGTAGCTTTGTCACATGACTGGTAGGTGTGTCAATTCTGTCTCCTGTTTGCAAACATTAAATATCCTGTTCAATCATTTTACACCGGTGTCGAGGGAGAATTGTTCTAACAGCAGACAAGAGTCCTGAAGGCAAACAGCTTCTCGGGAGTCAGACAACGCCCTACGAGAAGTGTTTCATGAAAATGTACCAAACATCTACCATTGGTGTGCTAGCTGTTGTATTTGCCGATGGTAAATCTTTTTTAAATTGGAGAAATACAGACGCCGGACCTCGCTGATCTCATGGTTAAAACTGATCACTAGAAAGAATTGGGAAAGTAGCATTCCACTTCTTCCTTATTCATTTTAATTTGTTGCCAATCCATCAACAAGATGCTGATGTGACACTGAGGCTCTTTCTAGCCGTGCGTGGTTTTAAAGGAAAATGTTGTATCTTTTCTTCCCTGTAATCACAGAACGTCAGCATCCAGCACGACTGCACCACCAAATACTTCTTAACCTCTCAAATAGAGCGTCTGCTAAAATCTGCAACGCTCGCTCATACACCAACAAGCTGATGCACATTCACACGGCCCAGGTAGACACAAGGCTACGGAGAACCCAACCTCACGCATACCAGCTCACAAACTACTGGAACTTGTTCATATTGCATTGATAAAAACTGCCCAAAGTGCCTTTGGCATTTTAATCCTCTAGCATCATGCAAACAGTCCAATTATTAATGAATTAAGCTTTGATGGCAGAAAATGACACGTGTAACAACTACATATGTAGAGTGATGCACCCGACCAAAACAATGATCACAAAATATGCTGACGTTCATAGGCATCTTCGTGCAGTTCTAATCAAATATTTGGAAAGGTTGGAGCTAAGTACATCAGATGCTGCTGTGTCAACACAACCCTCCTTTGTGTTCTTCTCAAAAGCTTCAATGACATCACGTTGCTCTCGTGAAATAAAGGTCGCAGCGGGACGTGAGGATGCAGTACACAGGCATGTTTCTGTCGGCTGTGATTTCCCCTCGTCTCTCTTCATCGGATCATCTGTCGGAGGGTTCTGCCGTAAAGTGGGTGATGCATGATATATTCATATATTTAGGTTCACAGTAGAATCAATATAATGTGTCGTTTCTTTACTGATAAACTCAATTATTTTTCATTTCTTAATGCACAGAGCTTCAGCGTGGATTTTGGAATCATACTCACTCACTCAGTTATAAAAAAATAGAGCAAAATACTTTTAAACCCTTTGACATGTTTTGCAGTATGGGTGATATTTTCCATGTGACTAATATTTACTAGAGTTTTTTCAATATCTAACCAGGAGGATGACATAAAAGGGACAATGACTTGACCTTCGGTACCTTAATAATTAACAAACATGTATGTATGTATTTTATTGTTCCCTGTCAGGTGCAGCAGCCATGGGGCCGAGCAAAGGACGCCTCCTGCTCCTCACTGTGGGACCCACCATCCTCATCGTGTTGTCCTCATACCAATGGGACAGGATACGGGAAGAAAGAGGTACAACAAGTGTCCATATGTGACTGAGTGTGGGATTTTCAGCTCCTGCTTGGTGTCCTGGAGAGGGTCCCGCTCTACTGCTGATGAATGGATGAGGGATAAAGAAACGGATTAGCAGAAGACTTCGCCCTTGATTCTTTTTGGAAGATCTTATTTAATGTTATTGGGCTGAGTCAATTTCAAGGCAAATATTTGGCCTCGTCTTTGTTTTTCAATAAGTTACTCATTTAGTATCTTTTGTGTTAGAGACAAATATCCGTGTCCGTCTTATCACAGCGGAACGGCTCCATCGGCGGCAGGAACTGAGAAAGCAGCTGCTAAGAAATACGTGTGACCGAGAGGAATTTGCTGAGGGGAAGCGCAGTTTGGAAGACATGAGTGACAAACAGCTGGAGAACCTGATTGTGGATGACAAGCACGGCATCATCTACTGCTACATTCCTAAAGTGATGAAGACATGGACACTGGCAGGGACTTTGTTTCAGACCACATCTTCTAAATCAGTAATCAGCACAGAGTCTCGTTCCTATCTACAACAGGTGGCGTGTACCAATTGGAAGAAGGTCTTCTTGGTCCTGAAACAGGGACAGCCATACCAGGACCCCATGTCCATACCGTCTGAGAATGTCCACCACAAAATCAACTTTGCTCTCCTAAACGGCTTCCCGAGGCCAGAGATTAAGGTCAGTTCCTACGATGGCGTCAGATGTGACAAAAGAATGCGCTGATGCTTTCTCAATTTAAAACTACAGGCAAAGCTGAAGCACTACACAAAGTTCCTGTACGTCCGGGACCCCTTTGTCCGCCTCATCTCCGCCTACCGAGACAAGTTCCAGAAGGAAAATGAGTACTTCTATCACTTATATGGCCGGGACATTCTGCGCACGTATGCCAACCAGGCTGATCCGCCCGAGACAGCACATGAGGCGTTTGCGTCCGGCATTCACGTCTCATTCTACAACTTTATTCAGTACCTGCTGGACCCGCAGACGGTGTCGCCCTTTGAACCCCACTGGAGGCAGATGGACAGTCTGTGCCACCCCTGCATAATACAGTACGGCCATTTCTGCCAGCAGGGCAGCACAAGGTTTTTTCTGCTGTTTATGTACATATGAATGTGTATTATTGATAATGAAACACTTTATCAGACACAAATGGACTCCCGGCCTGAATGGTGTGCCTCTGCTGACGTCAGCAGTAGTTTGACAGCGGTGTGTTTTACCACTCAGGTATGACTTCATCGGCCATCAGGAGACCCTTCAGGAGGACGCTGAACAGCTGCTGAAGATGCTGATGCTGGAAGACCACATTCGGTTCCCTCCTTCATACGAAAACGTGACTTCCCGGGATTCTGTGTCGGACTGGATGGGCACGGTGCCCCTGGACGAGAGGAGGAAACTCTACAAACTGTATGAGGAGGACTTCAGGCTTTTTGGCTACAGAAAGCCATCTGAACTGCTTGATGGTTGATATGAAGTCACGATTTGCACTTTTCCCTACGCAGACAGTCGGCATTGAAGCCACAATATTTACCATTATATGCATCGTGCTTATATTACGTCTCTGTTGATGTATTTGTCTTCAGATTATTTACATCTCAAGCTTACAGTACATGATCAAAATGTAGAGACGGTTCATCTCATTGATATGAGGTGAGATTGTTCTTCTTCAACTATTCTTACCCAGATTGATATTTGTTAGGTTCACTGGTTTGTGAACAGTTAGCTAAATGTATGAAATAAATTAAATTAAATCTTGCAAGTTGGTGTACACGCTTTCCACGTGCAGTCTCTCGAGTCTCTTAACCGCATGAAGTTTCATTTAAAATATTAAATAATGTAACTTCTATGGAACACTCAAGAAACTCTGGCATTAATTCCCTCCGTAACTAAAGCCAAGGTGGGAAACAACAGGAAAACAACTTCTAAATAAGGAAGAAGAAGAAGTGGTCTGTTGTCCTTTCGTTGTTCAGGACTACAATTAATTCACCGTCTTTAACCAGATGGTCAATGAGAAAACAACTAATATGACATTTCATCCACCGGATTATAATCTGTGACCTGTGTTCACTCTGGTATGAAACTCGGATGAGTTTGATACACGGTAATAATATTAATCTAATAATGATAGAACATACTCCAACTGCAGCTTAAAAAGTAAATACTCTTGCATGCAGTATTAATTTGATTACGATCGTTTACTTCCTCATAACATGGGACGTAACTCTTGTGCAGAGCATCGTTGGTCAGAAAGAGCCATAGAGCAGTGCGATATTGAGCTTCCCATTTAAGAACACGGTTTATGTCCCCGCCTTGTGGATTGATAGTGGTACTGCACGGTGTCGTGAATCTGAATTGGAAAAACTCTTGCAAATTGCAGAATATACCGGTTTGGTTAGAAATATGAGATAAATATACTTTAGATTTCAGTGGGCGGAAAGATAACTGCAACTGTTTTATGATTTATTACAAAAACAACATGACAAAAACAATACATTATTTAAGTTTGAAACTCACAAAAACGAGGGGATGCTCACTTTGTGTCTGGCAAGGTCCATTCCATTGAAATTCATTTTACATATTCTGAAAATAACAGCCTCCTTTCTCGGTAACTGTGAGGGTGAACAGTGACATATTTGGGCAGCTGTCTCTTGCATCTGCTGTGCATCTTCTCACAACGACACAGATCTGATAGTTGCTCTGGAGCCTCGTCACCCTCTGGACCTCTGCGGCAGTGTAGACGGGGACATCCCGTCCACGGTCACTGTAGCCCAACCGAGGGGCTCCCTGTATGGGTCTTTTGTCTCTGAGAGGGACGCCTCCCAGTTCGAAGCCCCGGGGTCCTTACAGTCCGACCGTCTATGTCTGAGCAGTACCTCTGTGCCTTTGGACCTGATGGGGCGTGAGCTTTGAGTGGCATTTCACACAGAGAGGAACATGAATGCAGAGACAAACTGAAGCGAACAACAATATGGCTTTTCTTCACATGTAGACATTTCATCAGCAATTTTTTTTCAATATTTAAATTGAGTGACATTCAGATCCGTGTCAAGTTCAGACATCAGACAGCTCATATTTACATTGTATGTTACATCGGAAACATTTATTTAGCCGTGGCACTCATCCGGAATGTCTCACAACACTGTTGCTCTCTCAAAATGCTCATATACTTCTCATATATCTCTGTAGTTTCTCTTCATGCCTCAGCTCACAGTCAAAGGTATTTGACAGTAGACATTTTGTATTCCTCCGGGATTTTTTCCGTATTTGGAGGATGCAAAATGGTGCAATCAATTGAATCTTTTCATATCGAACTTTCTTCACACAGAGCCAGCGGTGCTGGTAATTTAAAATTGGGAAAGCGTGCCAACTCCTCCTCCGGTCCTTTTATTACATCCCCTAAACCCTCATCTACCTCATCCCGCTCCCCAAACTTCCTCTCGATCACCTCGGGCCTCTCCCCCGTCCTTCCATCCAGCAAGTTCGCCACAAACTGCAAATCGCCGCTATTTGTGTTGCAGTTGGCATACAGAGAATTCCCATGGCCATTGCCGGGGTTGCTGTGGATCAGGGCGCCACCGAAGCTGTTGCCATGGGGACTGCCATTGCCCTGGTTGCTGAAAAGCGTTGTTGTCGTGTTTGTGGTCGCCGTTCCGTTGCGTTTTTCCGTCAATCTGAATCCATCGGACAGCAGGCTGGCACTGCTAGGAGACTGCGCCGTGGCCGAGGAGCCCAGCAAGTCCCGCCCTTTATCTGACGACAGCGAATTATCTGGCAGGTGGTGACCCTGGCGGGCAACGCTGCAGCGTCGCATCACAAAGTGGAGGAGAAATGCACCAAGCACTAAACCCATTAAGAACATAAAGATGTAGCTGGCCACGATGTGACGACCTCCTGCTTCCGCCACGGTTCCTCCAGCAATCGGGCCTTCCAGTGTCAACTGATAGGCTGCTCTGCGGCAGGGGGTGGGGTCTCTGCTGCCTGGTCCCGCCTCCTGGAGCGGAGCAACATGAGCGAGAAGAGGAACAGATTTATTGGATTTTGAGTTGAATTACAGGAGGAGAACTTTAGTGGTAGGTGTTTCCAACCCACAAACATTTCCACATCATGTTTTTTGCTTATTTCCTATTACTACAACAGCAGGAACAAGTGGAACAGAGTCAACGTGGTGAGCCGACAGCTTAGCCGGTGTACCTGGCATGTGCAGATGTATTCTCCAAGGCTGTCCTCCGTGACGGTCACCTGCAGGTCAGAGTGGTGCTGCCTGGTGTGTCGGTGGGGGGGGTGCTCCCAGCTGCAGGACCGGGGAGACAGCTGGACGCACGGCAGCAGCAGGGGCAGACCCACGGAAACGCGCAGCTCCCTCATGGACGGGTTGCAACGCCCTGGAGGAGAAAACAGCCGGGGAGACAGATGAGAGTAGAACGAAAGAGAAAACAGACATTTAGATAATATCGAGATTGTATAGTTACAACAACACAGGTATGAAAGCAATCACAACGAAATGAGATGCATTTACCTTCTGCTACATCACACTTCCTCAAGGCGTTGTCTACAATATCTCCTGGACCAGGCCTGCATGCACACACAATAAGTATGTGATTCTTTAATCATATTCTATCTGCAAACTACTTTACTTTGTGCCTGAACTGTATCTTAAAATTGATTGATCTATCTAGGGATCGTTCGTTCCATTGACTAGATTATACATTGAGAATTCAAAGATATTTCTGTTTATGTGGTCACAACATTTTTGTAGTCGGATACACTAAATATTTTTGATCTGAGGTACATGCTATTTTTTAATCGTTTAAAAAACCATAACATTAACATAATACAAATAAAATCAGTCCATTTTCACACATTAACTGGACTAGGGATTGTCAGCCTAGGGTTCTCATTTTTGGACTGTTTCCAGTTCCCTGAGATATTCCTGTAGAACTCACTCTGCTGTTGTGCGCCTGCAGGCGTCTTCCCCAGTGCTCCACACACAACCAAGTCCTCTGGCTCTGGCGCACACCGCACAGCTGGAATAGAGAGCGCAGCCTTCAGCCTGGACACGAGCCAGAGACAGAGGGCTGCCCACCAGAGCCCGGCCCTGGAAACACAGGGAGGCATCACAGGAGCAGTGAGCAAGACAAACAATATTTATGGCCGCTGCAGATTAATACATGCATTTGTGTGCCGGTTGTGCAGTATGTGTTTGAATGTGTGCGCAAATACCCGGTGCAGCAATATATTGTTGACAGGCTCCTGTGAGGTGAACAGAGAGAGCTCCTGCAGAAATGTGGCGTTCTCGCCAACGACCGCCACTTGGTGGAGCTCCCCGCGATCTGCAACAAACAAAAGTTTATTCATTAAACATTAACAACACAAAATTTGGAATATTCCATATGAACATCAAAATGTATACACATAACAACATGACCCTGTGAATTCTATCTCAATACAAGACGTAAACCGCGTTAAGTTTCCGGAGACACTTTGAGTTGTCCATTGCTGTCCTGATCTCTACCTCCCCGTCTCCTCACCCGTTCCGAGGTGCAGCACTGCTCCCCTCCGCTCGTCCCCGCTGCCCGTCTGAGTGACAGCCAGCTTGGTGTACCGGATTCCCTTCCGCACCAGCAGCGGCGCCGCAGTCACACTGTTATCCATTAGCGGGTGGTCCCTCACAAACGTCAACACCTTGTCGGGAAGTTTGAGGGACGAATCGAACCCCTCGTCCTTCAAAGCTTTGTTCAAACACTACAAAAGATCCAGGGCAGATCGGAAGTCGGGTTGTTCATATTAACGTGGTAGAACGTCAGGAATGTGTGATGTTGAACGTATAAAGTAGACGGCCGATATGTGGTTGCTCAGTTTGCTACCTGGCCGGGCCTCGGCGTGGGGACAGGTTCAGGGTGAGTCCAGTCAGAGGTCTTCTTCAGCTCTTTAAAGGGGCCGTCCATCACTTTGCTGATGTCAGACAGACTGAAAACACACACTGCTGACAACTCGTCACGCTCCCTGAGAACAGGAAAAAGGATGCTTACCATAGACTCATGCTGTTCAATCCAAAATGAATAGTCATACATTTTGCTCTTTTTTTTGTTTCAAATTTCAATTTCAAAACACGATCGGTATTTGATCATTAACTCTGCCCCCCCCCACACTCTCTCAACCCACCACTGGGAGGTGAACAGCCCGTAGAAGTGTGTGCTGCTGGGATCCCCCGGTGTGTGTTCCGTGGTGAAAACATCGGTGAGGATGTTGTAGCGCTGACCGCTCGGTTTGTCCTCACACACCAGCTGGGCCTTGAGGAAGGTGGTCCAACGTCGCTGCAGAGTCTTCATCCCTCCCACGTCGGACTGAACGCACAAGCCCGACAGTGAATTCACGCCAGGCGACCAACGGGTCAATCGATCTTTCAATGCAGACGGGGGCGGGGTTACCTTGCAGACCCGTGCCACCCTGGGCACTTTGACTTTGGTGTAGAGGTCATACTCCTTGGCCACCTCGGTGAAGAAGAAGTAGATTTTGTCATCGTCTCCTGTCGGGTTGCTGGAAGCAGACTGCTGTATGAAGGCTGAGCTCACAAACTCCGGGTCTGAGAAAGACACACACGCAACACAATTAGACTTTTTCAGTGGGAAAATAATGATACTACGTGAAAGTGTGTCTTTGCATGTTTGTGCATACGGCGGTCAGGGTTAGGTTTGTGCATTTGTGTCTCACCACTCAGCCAGTTAATGGATCGCTCAGTTCGGATGCGCTCCTGCTCAGCGCCCGTCCCCCGGGAGATGTCGAACAGCGTTCCCAGGAAGTTACTTGCGGCTGCTGTGTAAAGGGTTCCAGCTACGCAAAAAGAGAGGAAAAGAAGGGAGTAACTACCTTGGAGTAAGCTTCACACAAACAGAGCCGATTCATCAATCAATTAGTCATTCCGTGGTACCAACCCACCTGCCATAACCGCTGTGTAATGCTGACTGGGCTCAAACGGACACTTGCCCTTCCCCGTCTCCATCTTCACTCCTTCACCCTCGGTTGTCTCCAGAGTGAAGGAGGAGAGCTCCTGCAGGACGGCAGGAAAAGAGAAGTTAGAAGCACAACGGAAAAAAATACATTTACATATAACTTACAGTCATTTCTAAACCGACTGTTTTAGTCTTCTAAATTACTTAAGAGTGATTTTTTGTTTTTAATTAGACGCAGAATTAGGCGCTCTGCTTAAAATGTCACTATAATCCAATTGTCACAGGCAAGAACATTTTTCGCAGAATCAAACCAGTTTAAATGTGAATGCATTATAACACAGGGTGGGACTCTTGGTTGTGAAGGAGCGGGGAAATTTGAGTTTGCTGCGGCTGCGTGTGCAGCGATGGATAGATCCCCGAGCAAAGCTCCGCCCTAGATGGTCGCCCTCTAACACACGCACACACACGAGGGAGGCCCCAAACACACACACACTAACTAACCAGGAAGGCGCACTGGGGGTCGAAGGCGTAGGTGCCACACACGTAGACGCGTCCGTCACCCAGAAACTCCAGCAAACGCACGTAGTTGTTACAGTCCACCTGCAGGGGGAAGCAAATACACAAAAATACAGATAAGGCCGTGACTCCGAAGCGCAACGTCTGATATATTTTTTTCTTCACTAAAATAGTAAGTCTTTTTTTGCCCGTGAACCGAGGTGGTCCTGTATTAACCACACTGAGCTTCAGGAGAAAGGTTGTGGTGGATTCTTACAACTGCTGGAGTATCAATGACTCTGAATGGAAATTGGAGACCCCCGCTAAGTGGAGAGACACTTGAGACCCTCATTGAGACCATCCACACTAACTCACACCTACAGGGAAGCGAACCACACCACCGCTACCACTTTTTCATGCACAATGAGCATGTAGAAAGTATGCATGTGTGCTTCTTTGTGTGTCTCATAAATACACATCATAAAGGACGTATTTGTTAAGCTCCCCTATCTCCTTACATGAATATTCAGCCTGCAGCCATGATGGAAAAATACCCTCATTGTTCCTCCAACCATGACGCAGGCAGTTTTTGGTAAGCTTGTGCGTGTGTGTCTCTGTGGCATCTTGGATGAGCTCCAGGCCTGAGTCACCCCACCCCGTCCCCACGCCGGGACCTGATCCTCTCCAATGCCCAGAACTTGTCACCCGAATCGGCCCCCGCCACTTCCACGACCCTGACCGGTCCCGTGAGACGGAGGACGGAGAGCCAGGGAGAGAGACAGAGAGCTCAGCCTGGGCTTAGCTCTTTAAATGGTCCAAAATTGACCTCATTCATGTTAATACGATTCATTCACAATCTGGCATGAGGTGCAACAAATGGCTCTATTCTGTTGAACTCTATTTCGGTCTATTCTACGTGAGTGTGTCGAAGATCGCAATTAGACCTCATTATCAGAAAAGCTCCCCCCCCCCCCAATAGGTCTGCTGCTGCTATCATAAATACATCTGTGTATTTCAAACTGTGTACCAGTACCAAATAGAAGGCAAAGTTAGATAGATGAAGCAGACCGGGTTGATGTTATTGTGTCACATTCTGCATGAAACGTATTTATAAGGCAACATGTGTTGTGTTTACTGCTGGATGCGGTTCCCGTATCCTCCTCTCATGTTACACCGTATGCGTTGAAAGGCAGCACACACATGTGCATACAGTCTCTCCAGTCAACATTGGGTTAGTTGATTTCAGTCAACACCGACTAATAATCACTGAGTCGACAGTTGTTAATGCGAGTTCATTTTGAGCTGTGAAAGGCCTCTGCCTTATTCCTCATTTCATCTATTACAGCACAGACACAGCAGCGTGTAACCACGCCTCCTTACCCTGATTTTTTCCATTCACACACAAACAAACATACACGTCCCTTCTCTGGGTCAACTTCAAGGTAGCGTACTTGTTCAGTGTACTTCTCACTTCCATCTATCCTTCTTCCTCTCTCCATCCTCCTAATCACTCACATGTAATCTCCTAATCAATGTCTTTTCAGAACCCCCCCAATCCTTCGGTTTCCTGCCTTAATCAGCCATTCACCTCAGCAGAAAACTGAGCTGGTGATTGCATAAAGCGGGTCTGAACTAATTGCACTTCTGCGGTTAATTCACGGTGCTTCCATGAGCTTTGTTCATATTTGGATTTGTCCTCATTTGCTGTAACGTCCTGGACCAAAGGTGTTTGTCAGGCATTTTCTGAGCATCGTCAGGTCATGGGGGCTAAATTATGAGTCTGAAGCTCTATATCAACCTGCGTAAACCAGAGAATCTGTAACGGTGTACAGTTAGTTCACTCTTTGGTTGATGTTGAGGTCAAAGAATAACAAGATTTATAGCTGGAGAGGACAATGCGCTGTATTTAATCAGTTTCTGTACACAGTTACTGAGCATCTCTGACTCACATATATAAACCCCACTCTTATTCTGTCTGTATCTTTCTCTCCACACACACACACACACACAGAGGATTTGGCACGAGTCCTAGAACTTCCCATCCGATGCCTAACAGCACGGGGTTGTGACACAAACGCACACACTCAGATGTCCATGCTGGAGCACAACACATAAGGGCATGAAATCACACATTTTAAATCTATAGACTATACTACTATAATATACTGTATGTAGGTTTTTTGTGTGATCCTTCTAGCCTTTTATCAAATCTTATTAGCGACTGTATATCGGTTGGCTTTTAATAATAAAGAAGGCGTGTGAGGGGACCACACAGACACACACACACACACATACACACAGCTCTCACCTTCGTCTTTCTCTTCGCCACACAAGCCCGTCTCTTCGCCTCCGGCACATCCCAAATGATCTAAGAGAGATGAGGACAAAGAAAACAAACACTGTTGATAATACAATGCAGCAGATATAACCACCGCACACTCAATACACACACACCCATCCCATTAGGGGAGACACACACACACACACACACACACACACACACACCCTGCCTACCACTTTTGGTTCTTGGTCCAGGCGCTCGGTGTCCACAGCCAGAATGGCGTCCCTGGCCCCCAGCAACAGCGTGCTCGTTGAGCGGTCTAGGAGGAAGGTGCTGACGTTGGCCACGTCTTGGAACTTCTTCAGCTCAAGAACTGCGTCTGTGGATCAAAAGAGAGGGATTTTCAATATGTTACAGTCGAAAAGAGGAGTAACTACGATGAGCCTCGGTAAGTCTCATAAACGTTGAAATAAATGGCTGATAGGATGAGATGGATCTAACATCATTTTCCCAGAAAGAGGTTTAAAGAGATGAGGGTAACCCTTGTTTCACCCCGCAGCCCTCACACAATCACAGCTACAGATTAACTTTAATCCCTCTCAGTCGATTGATCTCCGTTTTGTGACTATTTGCCCCTTTTTCTCTCACGTACACAACAAACAGTATTCATTCAGTCAAATTCACCACTGTAAAGAAACACCCAGAAGTCAAACATACATAATTATCATTTACAATAAAGAAGTAGTATTTGGTTTTTTTTTGTTCTACAACCCTGATCTTTGTTGACCTTCTTGAAAGCCAAGAAGTGTTCAGAGAGAGAAATGAAAATGCACAGTGCGGAACCAGTGGTTGGTTTCTGAGTCGTACATCCTAATGAAACACACACACACACACGAACATGCACCACCTTTGCACGCACAACAAAGAAAGCAGCTCGTTGCTCCACAGATTAAGTCACCAGGGGAAAGATTAAAGACACATGTTGATCAATGAGGCTTTTATTATTTACAACGTCAAACAAACAAGATTAAAACAATATACTACGTGAAACTCATTTCACATTACTCAGTGTATCAAAAACGTAATGGAACATGACTAATGACAATTACAAAGGACACCCTCCTTTGTAAAAAACAGATTCACAACTTGATCTGATTTTAACGGATATTGATTTGATTTACAATACAGGAGGGAATGAGCATTTAATTGAAATTGATACGTTTTGTCTTTAACAAAAACTGCACCTCCTGTGATTTGAAAATTGGCCATATTATGATTTTGAAAAACATTCTGATATATTGTGCAGCACTTTATAGTTGTAAGACTACCACGTTCACATTGATTATGATTTTTAGGCAGCCCTCAGTTCCCTCCACTTATACACACTCTCCTCCGCTTAAAAGTGCCAACGTCAAATCACGAGCGTGTAATCGGTAGACGGGAAAAGAAACAGCGTTCCTTTCCACAATGGGCTTTTCTAACTGACTTTGTAATATAAGGACTTGGAGATAAAGGGAGTGAACAAACACAATTGTGCACACACCCCGTATTATTCCACAGGTGGAGGTGGACAATCACAGGAGTGTACAACCAAACCGAAAGGAGCACAAAAAACATTTTTTATTCAAACTCATCAAGGTAATTGCTCAGAGGAAAACAAAAGGTACTATTTGAATGTAATGCAGTTGTTTTCTAAATGACATAGAAGAGAAGAGTTCAGGGAAAACCCTTTGAGTTCCATCCACGGTAACACTTTTAATCCTTTACACGACAGCTGCCAAACAGGGAGGGTCACGTCCCTCAGAGTGCCCTCGCCGTTGACACGGTTTTCCACTCAGAGTCTGTCCGTATTATTCTGTGACGGGGGAAAAAAAGATCCCAACACACTGACATCTGCCCGTAACTGAATCACAGACGCGTGTTCTCTCCCCCTGCGCTGCATCCTGTCAGCCTGTGTCTGTTTCCCACAACGTTCCACATCAATGTCACTTCTCATTCACTAAGGAGCCATCTGTTCGGCTCAAAAGCCTCCAGGCAGCCATGTAGCAAGCCGCACCCTCTGATTGGCTCGCTCCGGGTCAGCACTTCCTGAATATCAGCCAATGACATGAGGCGCCGTTGTCCGGCTGGTCCTCGAGTACAGCAAAGTCGCTGATATCGTGTGTTGTCATAAGTTGTTGCTGCCCTTGATTAAAGATGTTTGTTGTGTCCTTCCTTTGCTTTTACGTCCAGAGCCGACTTCAAATGAAAGCTGAAGGAGAATCGAGGATCATTTGAAGCCTCTGAGTCTCCTTCTCTCTTCTTTCCCCACTTTTGTCTCTACTCTTCATCTGCGCCGTTATCCATTCATCCGTCCTTTCATCACCCCGCAGCCTCACATCGCCCGAAAGACTTCCAATCTTCAAACTCACTTTGCTGCCTGTGTTTCTGGTGGTGTGATTAAAACACACACATACACACACACACACACACACACACAGACACTCACACACTCACACAAGTAAACGTGCAGGCACACGCGTGCACTCTTCGAAAAGTTGACATGAGTGTTAGTGACAGAGGCCAAAGGCAAGGTCTGCAGAGATGTCCTTGCACACTGGTTCTCGTCGGCTGTGTGGTACATGACAAAACACACACACACGCACATCCTACCACATGCACACATTGCCACCACCTGCTGTGTGCCCTAATGTAGAGAGATGATTCCTAGAGCCACACCATCTGCCATTCTCACACACACAGTCGCGCGCACACACCTCGGACATCCAAGCACACACTGAAAAAAAGGAGACAAACAGGCCTGATGCATGCACCGGAAAACAAGGTAATATGTCATTTACATGCATATCTTCATTTTGACATTTGACAGAGCTGTTTGTTTGAAGCTCTTTATGAATTAATATGATTGGACATGCGTCACAAGGGGGGCTCTGCATGTTGTTTAAACGCCTCCTCTTTGACAGCAGGGCCCCGCAGCTCGCCTCGTACCAAATGCCCTCCCCCCCCCCCCCCCCCCGCGCGCGCGCGCACACATACAGAACCCACTCATGTGCGCTGCGTGCATGCACAGGTGTGGCGGCATGTATGGCGGTGTATCATTTATCGAATCTAGGCACTGTGCTGTAGGATCAAGTAAATATAACGGTATCTCTGGAAAGTGGAAGTGACAAGACTGGGAACTGTGTCGTAATGAATAAACTTTAGAAAAACTTAATCAGAGACGCTCTGCTGATAACAACAAGTTCATGAGAGCAAACCGAAACGTAAAAATAATGGCCCGGAAAAACCCAAACAATGAGAAAATGACTAATTTCACATTACAGATTTCTTTATCCATTTTTAATATAAAAATATCCATTAGTGCTGCTTTAACTCAACGAACTGGGATCCCACACGGACCGTCAGCGTAATCCCTGCATGAATAAATGTTAAAAATAGAGCAGTGGTTATGAAAGTGTTTCATTTTGTTTTACATGGATTAAACTGGGACAATAGTCGAAATGCAGGATTTACCAGAAAATCAGGAGCTGCACATTAAAAATGATCCCAGTGTTGTCTCTGGAAAACCTGGCGACCACATACATGCTGGGAAAAATAATCTCACCCTGGGTATAATTTAAAAAAAGGAATGATGTGAGTATAAATGAAATAAGTAGTCCCTAAAATATGATATCCTCTCCCCTGCCATGAATCATTCATTCATTATACATTAAACATGACTGAGAGGCAACAGAGAGTATGTGTGCATGTGTGTGTGTGTGTGTGTGTGTGTGTGTGTGTGTGTGTTATATCCATTAAGGGGTTTAATAAACTGGCTTTTGCTCTGGGGGGGCCGACCCTGGTCTGTGGCTCCAGGGCATTGTGGGGTACCAACTAGGAAGTGATAAATTATACACCTCCCTCCTCCACCTGTCAGTCAGAACTGACGGGTTGGAGAGAAGAGATGCACAGAGGCACACACACATTCTCCTGCCCCCACAGCCTCTTAACACACACACACACACACACACACACACTCTGAGCCCCTGCGGTGAGACAGGACACAGCTGCATGATCAACACAGTCACACACTCTGCAGAAACGCACATTTATAGCCCCCCTTGCTTTCATCCACTCAGCTTAATGCCATATTCCGGCTGCTGCTTCCTCTGAATAGTTCAGCGGCACTCAGACGTATATGTGCTCCACAGGTTATTGTAATACACCAGCTTTTAGCAGTTTGTCACATTATACAGCATACGCAGCTCTACGCTAACACTTCAGCGAGCATTAGGATGAGTGACAGCAGGCAACAAGCAACATCCAAAGTGAGACAAGTAACCATCTGTCATTTATTCGCAGGTGTTAAGTTAACTCCGCTGTTTAAAATAGAACATATACCAAAATGTAGAAATATTTGAAAATCTTCATACGCGTAGTGTGTCATATGTGGTATGAATTAAACCAATATTCCTACGTATAACAGGGCTGAACATGAATTTAAATGTTTTAATTTTCTCACATTAGTCCTTTGTTCAGACCTCGCAGTGGAGGTTGATCACATCCCGGCATGCAGCCCCTCTGTTTATGGGCTTACATGCATCTTGGACACGTGTATGCAAAGTGACAGTAAAAGTGTGTACCGGCAATAATCACAAACAATAGTGAGTTTACTATTAACAGTAACTTCCTTTGAATATAATTAACAATATGAAAAATACAATGACTGTTGTCAGGCACCTAGACGATATAAACGCTTACTGAGATGGTGCTAGTGTGTGTGTGTGTGTGTGTGTGTGATGTTTAGTTAACCCCTTCTTATTGTTCTTAAGTGGGTCATTGTCTTTTCTTTGATTGATGACAGAAGTCAGCTATTCAGGCATATCCTGTCTCATGCATGTGTTAAAGTCAAACGGAGAGGGAGCTCAGAATGTGAATTGTAGACAGAAGAATAACTAGAAGGGCGAACAGAGAGCGCAGACCTCTGCTGAGGCCGAGCCACTCAAAATCTACTTTCATAAAAAGCGGGCCAGTAGTTTTTTCGTAAACCTGCAGACAAACCAACACTCCAACCGACAAATCATCATAAAACATAACCCCTTCGGCAGAGGTAAAGATGAATAGCTCGACCTGTATCTTCTATTTTGCGATTATATTTGCTATTATGAATTTTTTCTTCTTCTCCACGGAAACATCCCACAATGTCATTCGTGTGACAGAGATCGGGAGAGAGCAAAGAGAAAGACAAGGGTCCTCTTGTTGTAGTCATGGTCAATTTCAGCCTTGTTTCAGTCACTAACCGGGCCTCACAAAAGCCTGAAAGCATCAAAGCCTTGTGGTATCAGTAATAGCTATTATGTCTCACTAGACCATAAAAGGAAAATTTGTGTCCGATTTTTAAATG